AGATAAAAGTCAATCCTAGTGCTGTCATCGAGTTTTTTACCGTTCGATTATACACAAAACCACATGGTCCTTTATATCACACAACTTAAAAGTCATCCAAATTTAAGATCAACTTCAGTTTTTACAGTCCTTTTACGTCCAACCATTCAAAAGAATCACCCCAATTTCTACTTTTCAAGCATTAACCTCTATGCCAACAGAAGCAAGCACGAAGATATTGGAAATCAATCAATAAAAAACACTCGCAATCTAACATTTAAGAAACAGAAGAAGCATTCCTCTACGCTCAATCGAAAACCTACAATGCAATCAATCTACCAACTTAAACTCGAAAGTTTCTCCACCAGAACAAACAATAAAAGGTTAAAAAAGCAGATATACACCAAATTGACACCCCTTAAACACAACTGTAACTATAAAACTATCACTCACTTCTTTCCTCCAACCATACTGTGATTATTACTATTCGATCCCGATAAGCCAGACGATGCATTACTCGTCGATTGAAATCTCCCATCAGCATTATTACCAAACACATTGAGATCATCAAACAATCTATATGATGGAACAAACGGCTTTGGCCCGACATTCGGTGCAGCTGAACCTGAACCAGAGTTATTAAACTGTTGCTTAGATTCATTATTTAACAAAGGTCTAGGGTTAGACGAAAAGGAAGGTCTCGGGTTCGAGTAGTTGTAAGGCCGTTGATTGGTGAAATAACCAGGCGTGGCAGCCCAAGGTGGAGGAGGGTAAGTGGTCAATTGGGTCGTCTCAAACTGGGCCGGTTGGGAACTGTAAACAGGCTGATGGAAATTGGGACTGGGACTGGGACTGGGACTGGGACTGGGCTGGGGTTGAGCCCAAGGAGCTACATAGTTGTTGTAGGCTAAACCAGGATTTCCAGGGTAAGGTCCAGTTGAAGGGACATTTTCGGGTCGAGCGTTGTGATTTCTCGAGCTGGGGGCCTGAAAGTTCTGGTCAGTTGATAAGGTTATGCTGAGTAGGTCTATGATGTCTTTATCTCGGGTTTGGGCCGGGCCTGTAGTTGGACCACTAATCGGGACAAGTGCATTGCTCATCGAAGGACTCGATGGAGCTTCTGAAGCCGGGACAACACGCGTTTTCAAGTGTCTGCATTTGGCATAAACATTGGTAATAAAAAACGTAAATCGTCGAAAAATAACCGATTACGATGAAATAGTTAAAAAAAAATAAAGCGAAGAAATTACGATTACCTGCGAGCAAGCAGGGCAAAATCGTCTTCCTCTTCATCCTCTTCATCGATCAAATTCAAACCCTTACCGCCAGGTGGCGCAGGAGGATCGTTAGATGTTGCGTTAATAGGCGCGCTGGCTTGAGGAGATTTGGGACTCGACTCGGGTTTTTTTTCAGGTTCTGTTGGAGGGGTATTTGTTACATTGGGTGGTACTGGGTTACCCAAAGCTATACTATCGTGTTTTGCAAGCACAATTTGTAGTTTATCGTTAAGTTCAAGACCCTGACCAAGAAGTTCTTCATCCCTGTCGCAACAAAATGATCAAAAGTTCGAACAAAAAAACGATATTCGACACTTTTAAATATATTAATGTCATGTTTCCCCATCTTTATTTTTTTTTTTTGGTCTATTTCTAGAAATTGTGATTTAAGGCTAACCCAGTGGTGGCCAGCAACTGCACCAACTTCCTTTGATTGGTACGGCATTGCTCGACAAGATCGATTATCACTTCATCTTTTATAGCCTACAAATCATAATCAGAATACATAAATATTAATAAAATTTGCCATTAATTTATTTCAACAGGTCGGGTCGGCGAGGAATTTTTTTTATACCGAGCGATCATTTGGATCAACAGCTTGCAACATCTCAGTCAATAGACCAAGAACATCCTGCATGGAGTTTAAGGTCGCTAAACTACAAGATTACAAAAACTCAATATTAGAACTTTGTATAAAATAATAAAAAAATAAAATAAAAATAAAAAATCAAGAACTTTCGGGGTAGTTTCTACTTTTCATTTCAAGAAAATATAATTAGCTGAGAAGTATATTTTTCGAGTCCAAACCTTATACTTTGATCTGCTGCCATAACTTCATCGAGCCTTGTCGAGGAGCTACTCGGCATACCGTAACCCGGCTGAGGCTGTCTCGATATCGGATGTGTAACGGGTGGAGTCAATATTGGAGCTGAATCCGGTGGACGTTGAGGAAAATTCACACCCGTGCGCTTTTTATAAAAAATAAAAATAAACAAATAAATAAACTGGTCAATAAGTTTATTAAGTGCCCAGCTCATCTCAACCAGTTGCACAAAAACCAACAAAAATCCCAACTTTTGCAAAATATTGTCACGAATGGCTTGTTAACTTGTTAACGCATCAATTATTCAAAACAAGCTGCCGTTAAATTAAATCAAATGAAAAATTTAGGATGATATTTTCTCACCCTGAGGTCCTCATAAGCCATATAATACTGTGGATATCTCCCTCCAGCACCAAATGCATCGTGCCAAGAGCCAATCAGAGTTAAAATTTTATCCCTCACATGCATATCTGTCTGAAAAAGGCAATGAAAACATTATTGAGATCTTCAATTACAGCTCACAGCATATTAGAAGAACAATTTCAAAGTGGTTTGTTTGCTACTGTTTACACTTCAAATTATAGTGAAAATATTAACAAAAGTTCTCTATAAAGCCACCAAATTATAGAAACGTAAAAGACATATGTAAGACCTCATTTCAAATATTCACCTAAAAACAGCAAAATGAACTTGCCTTTTTGCGAACAATTTTCACCATCTCTGGCAGTATATTTCTTTCGGCTATTTGGAAATGCACATAATCGCCACAATTCTTGACCATCGTCTCGAGAAGCTATAAAAGACAGCAGCACAATTTCTAAGCAAGCACTTATTATGAAGTATAAGGTAAAGAATCATGCTCATGCTATCAATATGTTATGTAAGAAGCAATAATAATACACCGGAAGGGAGCAATTTCATCATAATACCGTTAAAGCAAGCAATTGAACTTTAGGGTTCTTGTGCTGCAACCTTTTCTTCACAGCTTTCACGACATCTTTTGCCAGCCTAAGAATTGACATATCACGGTAAGAAGTAGAAACAGACTCCATTAAAAAGTTTCAATTTTTTAACACCCAGGCCTCAATTTCTACTTCTCCTTAAAGCTAATAAACAAAATTGAGCATCCCAAACACAGGTAACAGAACAAGACCAAAGCTATTACTCATTCCAAACACACACAGAGCAAAGGGACACACAAATCAATATCCAACATAAGCACAAAACAGCAAAAAAGATAGAATTTAAATTTGCATGACAAAAAACAAGGCACCAAAGAGACCCCTCAACAGAACTGTATACATATCCCAATTTCTACTTCTCCTTCAAGCTAAAAAACCTAAAATTGAGCAGCCCAAACACAGGAAACAGAACAAGACCAAAGCTACTTCTCACTCAAAATCATACACAGCAAAAGGGCAGACAAATCAGCATCCAACATAAGCACAGACCAGCAAAAACTAGAGTTAAATAACAAAATTATTTTGTGCGTGACAAAAACAAGGCACCAAAAGTACCAAAGAGACCCACGTCTACAAATCGTGTATATAACCAAATACATACATCTGATTGGAGTTAACGGTGTCGCAAATATCCATATTCAGAGTCCAATCGGGCCCGATCAAGAACTCGCTCGTCGCTTTCTCGACCCTCACAGTAGCTGAAGATGGCGACGCCATGGACGATATCATCATCATTATTCGCTTCGTTTTCTTCTTCACAGGACCTTGCCTTAAGCCGCAAAACCCCAGAGATTGTTCTTGTGGGCTTGACTGTTGAGGTCTCAAGAGCAATTTCCTTTCTTTTTTCTTTATTTTTTTTGCAGCCCTTGCGTTAAAGTTTAGGCCTTTCGGTCTTCTGCTTTTGGGCAACTTTTACATGGCCATTATTGAGGATTTTCTTCGCAGAAAAATAGCTCTTTTCTTTATCTTTATTCCAATTTTCTCGAATTTTATCCTCTGATTTCTGCAGAAGTGGTCTTCACACGCGCTCTTGCGACTCGCCGTGTGACACTCGCGGCCAAACACTACAAACAATACAGATAGATACTCATGACAAATCATGGGTCAACTTTTATTTTTTAAATAAATAAATATAAAATTCTATATTGTGAAAAAAAAAAATTAAAAATATAATTGTGAAAAATGAATATTCATTATAAATATAAGAATCATTGTTATACATTTATTACTGTATAAAATTGTTTAAGCAGCTTGATGTCGCTTAAATAAGATTTCGGGTTCGAGTCCTTGTGAGTGCAGAAAATCCTTGCTGGGAGACTCACACACAATTGTCAGGTGTGCGACCCGGGTCGTCCAACCGATTAGTCGGGGGCAACGAAAATTCTATTGAATAAGCTGCCTAACACTCTTATCAACTAATCCCTCCTAGTTTGATTTTAGTGTTATATTTCCTTTGGAATTGAGATAAAAGTGTGGATTATTGCTTTGTTTGAAATTTTAATACAATTTTAATACCACTTATTAGATGCATTTTTTAATTGGAGAATGAATAATATAATATATACAAAATATTTGCACACATATAGAACTAGACAAAAAATAACCATAAAATGTGACAAAATTGAAACATATATAATAGAGACTGACTTGTAATTTTTCTAGAGTTAGGTTGTGAATGATGTTTTCTCGGTTCTTGTCAGCAAGAATGAAGGTTCAATGAAAGTACAAAAAGATTCTCCAATTTGTTAAGGAAAATTTGATATTTTTCCAAGTTGGCAGGTGCAATAATAACAATAAAGAAAGCATTTATGTTGGAATATTTGGCCTGTTCACTTGTCTATCTCGGGCCTAAAGATACCTCGGCCCATTTTTATTGGGACTGGCCCTCACACACCCATTTAAGTGGCACGATGACTTGGATCATTGGATTAAGGGATTAAATTCAACCATTCATCTTGAGCTTTAAATATCCTCTCGTCTCTCTTGCCTTAACCTAATCTCACACTTCACTTCTTTCTCACCTGTTGCGGCTGAAAATCTCGATCTCTCTCTCGAACCTCGATTCTCTCTCAGTCGATCGGAACTCTGAATCTTTGCCCTATAATTATGAGTGTGTGAGCTAGGAGTGAGGGTCATTGTGAGCTAGCTTTCGTGTCGTTGCACCGTCGCCTAGCTTCCCCTCGCCCGATAGAGTTGCGTGGTGCTTTGCAGTTAGCCTCTGTGTGAACGGTGAAGTTTTGCAACGGGGTGACTGGGTGCTTGGCTCGTGTGTGAAGTGCAGCCCGGGAATAGCCCTGGGGTCGCCGTCTTTGACCATGACCGAGCCGTGACTCACCGAGGGAGTCGGGTTCAAGGGCGATCTGAGCCGGGAGACTTCGTGTCTTCATTATCCGACCAGATTCCAACGAATAAAGGGAGATCCGTTCTTTCTCTTCTATTTTCTATTTTTTCAGCGTTTTACTTTGTGTATTTCCCCCTTTTTGTTTAATGATAAGTCACCACTATATCTTGGTTTGTTTGCAGCTCAAACATGGGCGAGTACAAAAGTGCTTGTACCAGCCCGGAGGAAAAGAGAGTTGTCCGGGAGTCCCAAGGAAAAGCAGCACCCCCGTTGGGCTCGGGGAGGCTTGCATGCAACCAGACGAGCCAAGAAAGATGCTTCCACTGCCGATGCTTCAAGCCAAGAAATTATGGGCTCCGTTTTTTCACTCCATCAGTCTTTTTCGTCGTCTTCTGGGATCGGCAACAGATATTCTTAATGATCACGGTCTTGGCTCAAGCAGTCCCAACCTCGTCCGACACAACCTACCTCATGCAAACACAAAAAAAGGAAAAACACGAAGTAAAACACCGCGAAAAGACGCACAAATAGAAACTAAAGAGAGAAAACACAAAACCAACAAAATGGACCAAATATGCTACGAAAAACCTACGAATGGGGAAAAACAAAAAGAAAATAAACTCGAAACAAGGACACAAAAATGGGACAAACACAGTTTTTCTGTGTTCTTACACCATTGAAAAACTGTGTTTTGTTTTCTTATTTCTACAAACACTTTTCGTACTTAGAGATTAAGTACTAGGATAGCTGGGAGGGATTCTTGGTTAGCTTGAATTCCACAAGGTTGTGGCCAGAAGATTACTTAATAGGTTCGGGTATAGTGGCTAGACTAGAAGGAAGTTCGAGTCTTGTAAGTCGTACTTTATGAGCGCAAACCGAGCTATTATTGAAAAAGCTCTAAAGGGAATTGGGATACTCCTCGAAGATAATTTTTTATGTTAATTGCTTCCGCTTTTTTTTTTTTATGCGTGGTCGAACATTATTGCGTACTCTATTAATTTACTTCTCATATCCGTTTCAATACATATACATATACGTACATGGATGTGTATTGATTTAATGGTAAAAAAACTTGTGACTGTATTGCAATTACCAATAAGTTGAAATGTTCCGGTAGAAATCTTCACTATTTTACAGCGCAATAGTCATGCACGTACATGCATTAGTTTAGGTTTGCCTAACTGTTAAACTTTTATATTTTTCTTGTCAAATTTGTGTAATCATACTACGAAATGTCATATTTTATTCCTATTGTAGTTTGAAATATAATACTTAAATAAAAAAAATATAATTATTTATTGAATAACAATTACTGCTGATATGTAGTCCGTGAAAAAGTATAATGATTTCAAGGGTTGAACTTGTTATTAATTTAGTTTTATTAGATACCTTCTTCGGAAATTCAATAATTAATTTTGTCATAGCTTAGCTGGGACCTTTCGTTTTCTTTCTTTCTTTAATCTTCTAAATTCTAATAATTTGCAAATGCGTTTGAAATAATTAGAGGTTCTAAAATAACCCAAGAGCGCTTGGATGAGATGGCTTGGTCTCTTCCAGCTTAACCAGTGGTCTCGAGTTCGAGCCCTGAGAATGCAGCATTGTTAAAATTCTTGAGGGACAGCTTTGCTGTCCTTGTGGTCCTACCCGGCTCGATTCCGGATTAGTCGGTTCCCCTGTGGATCTGGAAACCGGAAAGTCCCTGTACAAAAAAAAAAGGTTCTAAAAGTAGTCTCATCATAATCGATTTAAGTATTCCATAATGAAACAAGAAAAATTAAAGTGAATGATAAGTTGATTGTTAAGTTATTATCATAAAAAATGGTATACTCCCAACAAGTGGAGCTCATGTAAATTGAATAAGTTCACATTGGAAAATGACAATTAGTTGAATGACCACCATAAATGTTTCTAGCAATACAAACTTTACCATTCATTTGCTACTTTAGGCTCCATTTTAGACTTCATGGTCAAAATTCAACGTCTAACTTTTTTGGATTCTTGGTGATAAGATTTACACAAATAAAACAATTGGGTCGACTTGTTATACTTTTTTAAAGTATTATTACTAATATTTGTTGGATTTTAGATGTACTTTGATTTCAGATGTATAAACTTAGCGTACAGGCAATGGAATTTTAATTTTTTTAACCAACAACGAAGATCCGACCATAACTATTCAATATATCCCTAGGTTGCGTGAATGATGAATGAAAACTTACAGTTGTTAGTAAGTTTTGCTCTCGACTATGATATCCACGCAGTCTAATTTTTCGGTGCACGATTCAATGCCAATGAATCCTTTCTGATGAAGAAATTAGAATCCTCAATCCAAAAAGTCAAAGTGTTTCTCTTATCTCTCAATCTCTAAGATTTTGTGATCTCTCAAAGGTTTCTCACTCTCTCGATCAAAGACGGTGAGGATATAATGAAATATTCATATCAAATTATATGGGTCGTAGGAGATCCTATTGTTGGTATATGTATCCTAGAGACAATCTTTTAGAAGACATATATACATGATCACATTAATATTATATTGGATTATAATCATGCTATTGCAATTAATTAAATAATTGTTTGGTTGTTTGCAATTTATTAATTAATTGCTCACTTGAGTTAGTATTGTTATTAACAGAGTGAGATGTTAATTGATAATGTATAATTCTCAAATCGCCTCAATCGATGATCATTAAGAAATTATTATTAATGATACGTAATATATTGACATGTGGTCTGCATCATATTCTTGAAGAATATATGTATGTCTCACTACTATGAATAATTGTTATTCGTGATGGACACATGGATATTTTGGAGAGTATTTGCATATCCTACCGATAAACTATTTGTTAATGTGTCTATAAGAGTATCAGTGTGTGGAATGGTGTAATAGTCCTTTGACTTTAGGTCAATACATGCGTGAGATTGTTGAAAGTAGTATGGAGGGCGTGGATGGTAAGCAATTCATGTATAGAGTGATCTACTTAGACCTAGTCCAACGCTTACGCCCTTATGGGTAGACACGGGCTCGTGTTGGGTAGTCACGATATACATGGAATTGGTAATTGAGCCAATATAGAATTCATTCCTCGAATATAGTTTCGAGAGAATACTCGTTTTCTCTATACTGAGTTGATAAAGTCATCGGTCAATACACGTGATTATATTTGAAATGGTGTTCAAATATAATTAATTAAAATCAACTAGTAATATGAGATAAAATGATTAAGTTGCAGTTTGGATAGACACACGTTCGAGTTCTAAGCTTAATCGAGGGGGTCGTGAATGAAGGATTGTATCATCATTGAGTTCTACACTAAAGGTTTATTTGCTTGTCTATGTAAACATACTTCATATTTTGAGTTCGTCATTCGACGCAGTCTAGGAGTTTCGTAAGGATCATAAATTAGATTTATGTCATATGAAAGTCTATAGAGTCACACAATATGCAATCAGTTTTCTGACTAAGATTGAATCGAGAGTGTTAAATATTCAACTAGATTGCAATATTTATTTATGAGTAATGGAATTATTTTCTATTTGATGTAAAATATTTAATTAAGTTAAATTAGATTTATACTTAATTCGTAATGAGATAATTTTTTATTTGATGGAAAATATTTAATTAAGTTAAATTAGATCTATACTTAATTACATTATTAATTGGATAACGTCCAATTACTATTGGACTATAGGGTCTCTTACGGCCCATATAATTAGGTTTGACTTAATTATAAATACCTCATTATCTTTTCATAGACTTCAATCGATGAATCGATAAAGAGAGAAACACTTGAAGAGATCCCAAAAATCTCAATTAACAGGTTTTAAGGGTCAAACATTTGAAAACAAATTATGGTGCATAAAATTACTCTATATTTCTATGCGAGTACTCTGGCCTAAGATGCATCGACACGAGCAAATTGATTATTGCTATAATTGCTTCAAGCTTATCTTCATTACGTATCACTAAGAAACCAAATAATAAACAAAACAAAAACTTATACTAATTACGTAACCCCAAAATTATAGTTTGCTTTAGAAAGAGGTTTATCCTGATTCTTCTTCCTTTTCCTTTTTCTAAATGGTTTATTTATAAACTTTGCCATAATAGAGTCATCCGATAGCTCTATATAATTTCTGAAAATCAGTCTAACTACAGAGTCATCGGTTTGCTCGACTTATGGAGTCATCTATAATTATTCACAAATTACGTATTGACGTGTATCCTGTAATAAATACACAATAGACACGTGTGACTACATAAAGTTATAGATGGACCATAAGTAAGTCATTCGATGGCTCCATATAATTTCTGACACAAATACATATTTTTTAATTACTTAATTATTTTTGTTTCTAAGTCGAGCTTCGTCTATAATTGAACCAATCGAATGCTTTCCTCGCTAAAAGATTGTAATCTAGCTAACAAAAGCACGCCATTTGACAGTATATAGTTACACATTTTGTTCATACAATGTGCCAAGTGCAAGCTAACTTGACTAATAACCAAATTGTCTTTTTTTTTTTTTTTTTTTTTTTTTTTTTTTTCAAACGATAGATATGCTCATAGAAACCAAAGGGATATGAACCACACTAGAAACTGTATAATATGAATCAATACGCTAACAATTGCTTCATCATTTTTTGCCTCGATATTGATCGTGATTAATCTCCTCCGTATCCTCCCGAATAGGGGCGTAGCCAAAGAAGGACAAAAAAAAAGGTTATCTTATATATCCTACTCAAAAAATATTTTAATATTCTATTAATAAAATAAAAAATAAATAGAAAATAAGAGAAACACAGAAGGAACGAAAAAGAGATAATGGAAAAAAAATTATCGTTTTTGTTAGTTATGGTGAAAATAACTCTAGTCCTTTGTTAGATTTGATATAAAAATTTAAAATTTAAACTTGTAGCTAATTGAATGTTGTTTCTTAAATTATGTGTGGTTGATAACTTGTAGTGCTCTTAAAAGTTTGATATATTAGACAAAATATTTTATACATTAATTTTTTTTTACATATATATATCAAATTATGGAGAAATATTTTTATAAACTGTCTTGACAAAAAAGTGCATTTGAAAATATTTTAAAATTAACTACTTTTAAACTTTTAGTCCAAATATACTTAAGGTGAATTATAATATTAATGTTAGACAGAAAGAAACTTTAAAGACTTCATTGTAGAGTCATACTAAACTATTAAAACTCATAAAAATTTCTATGAATGCGTATTTTTGTATTTATACTTTGTTGTAATGTAATATATTTATTTTTTAAGAAACAAGTAGGCCACTAATATTCTGAGCTAGATCCACCCCTGCTTCCGAATCAGCTTGATGGAGATCAATAATTTCGCGAAGCAACACGATGAGAACAACAACAAAGGCGTAATCGACATTCGGATGCACAGCTACCCCAAACGTGTGATTCACACATAGAAAACCCGAGTTTTTCTTCATCTGCACGATCAAATGTATTAGTTCTCATTCGATAGGAAAATGTATCTAAAAATGATTATATAATATGAATCTGTCATGTGTTTGTTGCACCTGAGCTATGATTTTATCGGAGCTTGCAGCATATACGACGCATGAAGTCTCGAAAAAGCTGCCTTTGATTTTGAAGTCGCAAACTTCCTCGGCCGTGTTTGAAGCCATAAACACGTGGAGGTTCATCTTTAGTTGTAGCAGTGAAGATTTCTTAACACTGAAAAGTAGATCCTCTGCTTTTTTGCTCTCTCCCCTAAACACTTTAAACCTTTTATGGCAGGAAAATGACTGTAAATTCACAAAAAAAAAAAAAAAAAGGAAAAAAAAAAAAAAAATTAGGGGTCATAATAAACAGAAGTATGATATTTGATAATGTCATACAAGAATTTGTATCACAATATATATGCATGTTATTAAGCTAAAATCTAATGCTCTAAAAAATATCATAAATAAAAAATATGACATTTCATATAATAGAAGTATACATTTTTTATTAAAAAAATCTACCCTTCATACGATAATTTGGCCTAAATTTCATTTTTAGTACATTATGTTGGCCATTTTTTTAAAATGGTCCATCATATAGAGCGTATTCAAGAATGATCCAATAAGTTGTCATTTTAATCAAACTCATACAAAAGCCAACATAGTGTACTAAATATGACAACTTACAACTATAAATGATCACTTTTAGTACACTATGTTGGTTATTGTACGAATTTTGATTAAATTGACAATTTATTGAACCATTTTTTATGACGCCCTAGATGATGATTTTTTTTTCGAAAAATAGCCAACATAGTGGACAATTTTTGAAATTTTGCCAGATAATTTGTATGTTAGCTGTTGTTATTAAGCAGAACTAACGATTAAAATAACATATTTCGCTCTCAACATTATATCATTTGACAATTCTTAGAAATGAAGAAGTTTTGAAATAACATAATTTAAATTATAATTAATACCATGAAATGGATAACAACAATAAAAATTAAAAAATAAAAATACCTCATTACCTTCTGGCGAAAAGTGACGACCGTATTTCCGGCAGCATCAACGAGCCGCTTGCCTTTGACTCTGAACATTAAGTTGCCGTTGACGTCTTTGACCACATACTTCTCCGACGAAAAAGTAAAACCCTTGCGCAAGATAGTGAGGTCAATTGGGTGATCCACGCAGTACTGCGGCCCAATCACTACCGTCCGCGGCGGATCCGCCGCCGGATAGCTCGTCCCGGTCGCCATCGACGGTAAGTGTTATAATTTGGTTTTTAATAATAAAATGACTTTTTTTTTTTTTTTTGAACGCTCTTAATTATATGAAAATATCTTATTCGCCCTTTGTTTGATTTGTTTGTGGTGTATTTATATTTGGTAGTATTTGATTGACTTAGTCCAATGGTAGCGGAGGAAATTGTAAGGAAATTGTGAGGAAATTAATGTAGTGTGGAATTCAAAGACTTTGCGGAATGAGTCGTTCAATTATATATATATCGGTTTTGCTATGGAGCCATTGGATGGCTCGGCTTATGGAGTCATCCATTATTATTCACGAATGATGTATTGACACGTGTCCTGCAATAAATGCACATTGGACATGTGTCAGTGTATAAAATTATATATATATATGTGACAATGATGAATAACTAAGATATGAATTATTGTTATTTAAAGTATGATTGTTGAATTTGAAACTATATATACCTAATGAGACCTACGGTTGTCTCGCCGTTTGAATCTGCTTAATAGCAGTGTAATTGAATCGAATTGTGTAACACAAGTATGGTTGTCAAACCATTTTAATCTGTCTAATAATAGCAAATGTTTGAATCCATTCTTTACCTTCTGAACAAGAAACTAGAGCATTTTGGTGCAAGAAAATATTTTCAATAAATGTAGTATATTTCTTAAACTAGCTGCGCACTGTTTACAATATTATATACTGCAAAAGGGTGATGGGAGAATCAATCTACACCATCTATCTATAACCTAACTCATCAGATGAAGACACATGTCAAGAGGATAAGGATCAGTTAAACTTGTACTATGTTGAGCTGTAAAGTAGCTGTGGGACAGCTTTGTGGTGCATGGTTCTGCATGGGAGCTGACCGTGTTCCCCAACGGTTCTAAGGTGCTGTTTGGACGAGCTACATAGGTTATTATCCCCCCGCAGATCGAGCAAGGGTCGAGGAAGTACAAACAACTTGTTTCTGAGCCTTGAGAAGAGCTGGCCACTGATCGGTTTTGTAAAAAGATCAGCAATTTGATCAAGAGCTGGAATATGTCGAACTGAGATCATCTGTGCAGCAACTTTCTCCCTAATGAAGTGGAGATCAATCTCAAAGTGTTTTGTTCGAGAGTGAAACACAGGGTGACTAGCTAAAGACACAGCACCTTGATTATCCATCCAAATTATGGCCGGTTTGGTGGAAGAAATCTTGAGTTCTGTAAGAAGGGTCTGCAACCAAACAACATCACATGTAGCATGAGCTAAGGACCTGTACTCTGCTTCAGTGCTTGAACGAGAAACAATCTTTTGCTTTTTAGAGCTCCAGGATATTAGATTAGGGCCCAAGAAGATACAAAAACCACTTGTGGACTTTCTATCATCAATGTCAGAGCCCCAATCTGCATCTGCATAGGCTGTGATTTGAAGACTTCCTGGTGTGTGAAAATGCAGTCCATAACTTAGAGTACCTGCAAGATACCTCAGAATTCTTTTAACAGCCTTCCAATGTGTATTAAGAGGGTTTTGCATGAACTGAGAGACCTTGTTAACACTGTAAGAAATTTCTGGTCTGGAAATAGTGGCATATTGTAGTGCTCCCACTACTGATCTATACAAAGTGGGATCTTCAACTGGTTGACCATTAAATTTGGATAGGATAGGAGAAGTCACCATAGGTGTGACCAGTCCCTTTGAATTTTCCATGCCAGTCCTTGAGAGCAAATCCATTATATACTGCCTTTGACTGAGAAAGAGCCCTTTATCATTTCTAATGATTTCTATTCCCAGAAAGAAATGCAGCCCTCCTAGGTCTTTTAAGGAGAACTCCTGTTTTAGCTGATTGACAAGATGATTCAGCTCATTTTCATTATCTCCTGTAATGACCATATCATCTACATACACCAAGATTAAGAAAGTATGACCATGAGAGTGCCTAAAGTACAGTGAATTGTCTGCCTGACTAGTCTTGAAGCCAATGGAATGCAGGAATGTGCCTAACTTGTTGAACCAAGCTCTAGAGGCCTGCTTTAAACCATATATAGACTTGTGAAGTTTACAAACCAGATGTTCTTTTCCTGGTACACTGAATCCAATTGGCTGCTCCATATACAATTCAGTATCAAGACTTCCATGGAGAAAAGCATTATCAATGTCAACTTGCTTAATGCACCAATTCTGATTTAAAGCAATGGACAAGACTGTTCTGATGGTGGCCATTTTTGCCACAGGACTGAAAGTCTCTCCATAATCAAAACCTGGAAACTGTGTGTATCCCTTGGCCACAAGTCTGGCCTTGTGTTTGGCTACTGAGCCATCTGCATTGTGCTTTAATTTGTATACCCACTTGCTCCCAATTAGTGACTTGTTTGGAGGCAAACTTGTAAGGCTCCAAGTGTTATTTCTGAGGAGTGCATCATATTCCCTTTTCATGGCTGCTTTCCACTCTGAGCTGGCAAGAGCTTCATAATCACTCTTAGGTTCTCTCTTACCTGCACAAGTTATGGTATATGCCTTTGGTTTATATATTCCTGCCTTTGATCTTGTGACCATAGGGTGACCTCCTGCATTATCATTTAGAGTCTGGACAGGAGCAGTGTTAGCATCAGTATGAATATTCTCAATTTGTAAATCAACAAAGATATGTCCATCTAAATCAGAACTGCTGGAGTGCTGTGATTGAGGGCTGTGTGGAACTGAGTGATCAACTTGATGGTTGGACTGGCTTGTTGAAGCAAGATTATGCACTGGTGTTTTGGTATATGAAGCATTAGGATTTATATGAGGATCATTAAGCTCATGTTGAATAACTGGTGGTGGAGACATGGTTGTGTGAACAAAAGGAAAGTTATCTGTTTCAGGTGGTTTAACATTAGGAAACTTGGTTTCATCAAATAGGACATGTCTTGTAAGGATCACTTTTCTGTTAGGAAGAAGAACTCTATATCCTTTATGCTTGCTGCTGTACCCAAGGAAAACACTAGGTTGACTCTTATATTGAAGTTTGTGCTGGTTATAAGGTTTCATCAAGGGATAACACAGACATCCAAAGGTTTTAAGGAAGGAATAATCTGGCTTGGCATGGTTCAGCACTTCAAAAGGAGTTTTATAATCAAGGACTTTGGTTGGTGTTCTATTTATTATGAAAGCTGCACTACAGACAGCATCATCCCAATGAAATGAAGGTAAATTTGATTGAGCCAAAAGTGAAAGGGCAACTTGAATAAGGTGTCTATGTTTTCTTTCTGCCAAGCCATTCTGCTCTGGGGTATAGGGACATGACATTTGGTGTTTAATACCATTATCAGAAAGATACTTGGCTAAACCAATGAATTCACCACCACCATCACTTTGGAGCACTTTTATCTTCCTGCTATATTGGTTTTCAACAAAGTTTTTAAAATGATCAAAGGCTGCATGAGTTTCTGATTTTTGTTTCAGAAGATAGACCCATGTGTTTCTACTGGCATAGTCAATAAAAGAAACATAATACTGATAGCCTTGAAAGGATCTAACAGGAGCTGGCCCCCAAAGATCTGAGTGAATAAACTCAATAGGTTCATAATTCTTAGGTTCTGACATGAAGAAAGGTAATTTATGCATTTTAGATTTCATGCAGGCACAACACAAACCACTTTTCTCATTCTCATAAAAGGAGACATTACAATCAGTCAAGGCCCTTTTTACAATGTCCAAAGGGGCATGACCAAACCTATTGTGCCAAACAACTAGACTCTCTTTATTTTTCACTTCTGCAGAAAGCACAGAAGGATTGAAGGACTGAACTCCATTCTTCCTAAGATCAGATGACTTTGTTTGAAGACAAAAGTTGTAGAGACCATCTTTAGCAGCTCCCTTGAGTAGAACTTCCTTTGAAACTTGATCCTTAACAAGACAAAATGAGGGGTGAAACTCAAAGAAGACATTATTGTCTTTAGCAAATTGTGACACACTAATTAAGTTTTTGGTTATATTAGGGACATGGAGAAGACTCTTAAGGAGGAACTTCTGATTTTCATTGGACATAGCTATGGATTCACCAAAGTGAGATATATTCATACCTGCTCCATTGCCAAGATGGATCCTTTCTTCTCCATTGTATTCTGTGGCCAGGTTGAGGTTGGAGATGTCATTGGTGACATGGTTAGTTGCTCCTGAGTCAGGGTACCACAAATCAACTTGGCTTCCACTAGTGCCACTCACATCAGTGTAGTTCACAGACCCTCCTGAGGAAAATTGATTTACATTGTGCTGTCCTTGGTAGCTGTTGTTCTGATTTTGCTTGGGAACAAAGCTGAGATCTGCTCTATAATAGCATTTGTCTGCAGTGTGGTTGTTGTAGAAGCAGATCTGACATCTAGGGCGGCCTCTACCACCTCTTCCCCTAAAGGTGCCTCCTCTTCCTGATCTTCCTCCAGCATTGATGTTTCCTCTTCCTCTTGAAGGCTGTTGGAAGTTGTTTCCCTTTCTAAAACCACCTCTACCTCCTTGTGCTGTATAGTTAACTGAAAACTGGTTGGTTTCTTCAGTGTAGTTGCCTTCAATCACTTCCAGCCTATTTTCAAAACTCAGCAGCAAGGAGTGAACTTCTCTTAGCTTAGGTGGTTCTGTCCTTGAGAGAATAGAGACAATGGCAGGGTTATATTCAGATCCAAGACCTGCAAGAACATGTGAGATCTGATCTTCTTCAGAGATCTTTTGGCCAGCTGCAGCTATGAGATCACAACAAGACTTGATATTGTTCAAGTAATCCTTCATGGAAGATCCTCCTTTCTTGGTTGTCTGCAGTTTCAGCTTGTACTGCATGACTTTTGCTGCATTTTGGCTTGCAAATCCAGTTTCAAGTGCCTCCCAGATTTCCCTTGATGTTGTCAGTCCAACAGTTGATATGAGTATGGACTCAGTTAGGGAGGACAACAGCCAAGAAGCCAGCAACTGGTCCTGCTTTACCCACAGCTGAAAAGATGGGTTTTCTCTAGGCAGATCTGATTCTGAATCTGTGATAAATTGATCTGGTTGTGCCTTACTTCCATTCAGGTAACCTTCTAGCCCATGACCTCTTGCAGCTGCAAGAACTTGCTGTTTCCATAAAAGATAATTTGAATCTGAAAGTTTAATACTGATAAGTTGGCTTTGAGGTTGAATGGCTGTTTCTGGGATCGAGGTTGCCATTTTGGGATAGAAAGAAATTAAAGATGGAGTAAAGGAAGAATGGATCAGAGTCTGGTTTGGCTAACCAGCTCTGATACCATAATAGCAAATGTTTGAATCCATTCTTTACCTTCTGAACAAGAAACTAGAGCATTTTGGTGCAAGAAAATATTTTCAATAAATGTAGTATATTTCTTAAACTAGCTGCGCACTGTTTACAATATTATATACTGCAAAAGGGTGATGGGAGAATCAATCTACACCATCTATCTATAACCTAACTCATCAGATGAAGACACATGTCAAGAGGATAAGGATCAGTTAAACTTGTACTATGTTGAGCTGTAAAGTAGCTGTGGGACAGCTTTGTGGTGCATGGTTCTGCATGGGAGCTGACCGTGTTCCCCAACGGTTCTAAGGTGCTGTTTGGACGAGCTACATAGGTTATTATCTAATAGCACGTTACTGAATTAATTTATGTAATACAAGAATAATTGTCTAACCATTTTGGTATGCTTAATAACATCGCTATCGAATAGAATCATACTGGTGATGGATATTTGGAATAATGAACTAGTCACTCTTATTCTATTTAAATGTCGTATTGTGTTCTAATACATAAATTAAGAATTTCTTTTATTACCAATATTAGCCTTATTTAAAGCAAATTAGCATTACTTAATTTCTTTATTTTCAGCTTTTTTTTATGTTTTTTTTTAAGAGAGGAAACCCATCATCTTCCGCAGCTTTCCCCCTAAACTAGTATTCAACCTGTGCATTTGCACAAATATATAAATAATATTATGAGTTATTTGTATACATATAATGATTAATAATTTTTGTTAAATTTACAATTCAAGGAGCTGAAATATTTAATTTTTTTTAAATTACGCTTATCATATTGGATATAATGTATATTTTGGTATGTATCTTTTTTTGTGAATTACATATTATTTATTTAGGAATTTCAAATATGTTTTTTATTTTCCGAAAGAAGTTAATTTAAATGTAACCACAACAATAACATCTACTCACATTAAATAGTCAACACATTATATGGTCAACTGCAAGTAATTAGAAAATTTAAAATGATTTTTGTAATTTTAAAGTAATTAGTGTATTGATTACCTAATAATTAAATGAGATGTTAAATGAATAAAAAGTAACGGTTTTTTGAGGGAAAAAATTATATTGCCACCTAGGTATAATTTAATAGGTTTTATTAAATGCTCATTAGCCAGTAATTATATATATATAGATGTGTAGTGTATTAATTAAGTGAGATAACATGAGAAATATGTATAAAAGATCCGAACGATTAATGCTCAATAAAGTTAAAATGACAAATAAAAGAATAGGATGGAGTATTAATTAGACTAGACATGGCCAAACCCGGTTCTGGGTCGGGGTTCGGAGGAACCGAAACTAGTGGTTCTGGACCGGTTCAGTGAAACGCCGTATTCGGACCGGCCCTATTCAAATAAAAAATAAATAAAGCCAAACCGCCAAGCCCGTTTAAAAAATACATGTATGGGATCGAAACTGTCCCGGTCAAACCATGGGCCCGGTTTAAAGCCTGCTGATCACGGGACGATTCTGGGCCGACTCCCGAGCGGTAGCCATGACTAAATTAAACAACTTTTCAATTTCTTCTCCTTCGTCCATGATTAATGTTTTCCATGATTCCAAACCAACTACAATTTTTTAATTTTTTTTTAGTCAGCTGCAGTATCTAGAGCTATGTTCCGACTAATTCATTGGTCGACGCGGGTCGCACACCTGACAGTGGTGGATGAGTCTCTGAACAAGGATTTTCTGCATCTACAAGAACTCAAACTCTATACCTAGCTTAAGCAACATCAAGTTGGTTACCACTTGAGTCAACCTCTGTTGGTAACTACACTTCTTTTGTTAGGCTACTTAATAGTTAAGCAGTTATATTCTTTCAACATATGTACATTCTTTTATATTCAGATTTCATGTATAAAATACAATAGAAGATTAACTAACATGAATAAGACTGACATTTCATATCATAAATATGAAATTTTTCAAGAATGTAAGGTTGATTGATGATTAGGCACCATAACACCAGAATGTCAGATAATATCATAATATATATTTATTTCATGTGATTGCAAAATACACAGAAGTACATGCAGCTGATATCAAAGAAAACTACATAAACAAGGTACAACAATTTCTCTCGAAAAAGAAAGTACATATATAAGCTCATCATACACCTAAATAAAGCTGATGAAACACATGAAACCATGGAGTTTAATTAGATCATTATAAATCTCTTCATCAGCAGCAATATCGATTCAGTATTCGGAATTAAATTCCTCGGTCCTTACTCGAGACCATCCGTGTTGATTTCTTCGAGAAGCACGATAAGTGCAATGATAAAAGCATAATCGACGTTCGGATATACGGTCACCCCAAAGTTATCTTTCCCTAGCAAAAGACTTTGGGCAGTGTGATTTCTCTTCATCTGCAAAAAAAAAGATCAATCAAAACGAAAATCAATCTTCATTCCGATATATACATTTCATAAAAAGTTCCGATTGTTTTTAAACTTATCGTGAACTTCGAACAATGTGTTAATTACCTGGGCAACAATGTTGTTGGATTTTCCGGCGTATATTACGCAAGAGGACTCGAACCAGTTGCCTTCGACTCTAAAGTCGCAAACTTGCTCTGACACGTTCGAAGCTAAGAACACGTCGAGTTTTGTCTTTAGCTGTAAGAATGAAGATCTTCTCACACTAAAAAGCATGTCCTTTGGATCTGTACTCTCTCCTCTAAACACTTGCCATCTACTACGTGCGGATAGCATCTAAAAATTCAGAAAAAA